TACCGAATCATAATCCTTAAAGGGTGAGCCTGAGAATCTATAATTTTCTTTTTTTTTTTTTGAGGAAGATTAGCCCCGAGCTAACATCTGCTGCCAATCCTACTCTTTTTGCTGAAGAAGACTGGCCCTGAGCTAACATCCATGCCCATCTTCTTCTATTTTATGTGGGATGCCTGCCACAGCATGGCTTGACAAGCAGTGCATAGGTCCGCATCTGGGATTCGAACTGGCCAACCCTGGGCTATTGAAGCAGCACATGTGAACTTAACCACTGAACCACCAGGCCGGCCCCGAGAATCTATAATTTTGACAAGCACACCCAGTGATTCTTATGCTCACTAACGCTTGAGAATCAGTGCCATAAAAAATTTCCTTTGGGGGCCAGCCCAGTGGTGCAGCAGTTAAGTTTGCATGTTCCACTTCAGCGGTCCGGGGTTTGCTGGTTCAGATCCTGGGTGTGGACATGGCACCCCCTGGCAAGCCATGCTGTGGCAGGCGTCCCACATATAAAGTGGAGGAAGACGGGCACAGCACGGATGTTAGCTCAGGGCCAGTATTCCTCAGCAAAAAGAGGAGGATTGGCAGCAGATGTTAGCTCAGGGCTAATCTTCCTCACAAAAAATTAACTAATTAAAAAAAAATGCCTTTCATCAATAACCATGATTTCAAACACCATTTCCAAAATCTACCTAGAAAATCTAAGCCAAATAGAATTCAGCTACAATTGAGAAAGCAGCTTTTGAGAAAGTCCTTAGCAGTCAATGTGACACGACTCACATTTAACTTGTAAAAATATTTCTTGTGGCAGCAACTTCTTTTTATTCAATGGTTTTCAAACTTTCACATAAAATGAAGCTCAAAAAAAAGACTGCCCATGAGATAGTAATAAGCTATTAAAATTAACTCTAAATAAACAAATTTCCATAAATATATAGCTTTACTTTTATTACGGTTTCACTTTAACAAGGGAAAGTTGATGGGTATATTATCTTGTAGCTATCAAGGAGGAAAGTATACACTCTCTGCCTAGAATAAATATATCATGTTTGCAAGCCAACCTTAGGGGTCCATGCTTATTAAAGATCACACTACCCAAATACCAAAGAGACAAAACAAACTAGCCAACAGACAAACCTAATCCTGCAAAAATACAGAGGGTCCCTGGGGCCGGCCCTGTGGCTAAGTGGTTAAGTTCGAATGCTCCACTTCAGCTGCCCAGGGTTTCACTGGTTGGGATCCTGAGTGCCAACATGGCACCACTCATCAAGCCATGCTGAAGCTGCATCCCACATGCCACAACTAGAAGGACCCACAACTAAAAATATACAACTATGTACCAGGGGCTTTGGGGAGAAAAAGGAAAAATAAAATCTTTAAAAAACAAAAAAAATACAGAGGGTCCCATATCCATATTCACTGCACTCTTAAAGCCTCCCAAGGGTATCCCTCAAGAAATCAATGAACAGCCCTTGGAACTACTTTAACTTTAAGAAAATTAACCTGAAGTCAAATCTTACTTCACAAACTATATAATTAGTGCAAAGACATATTTATTTTGGTTCTATCTGTTGAAAGCATCCTTCACTCATTAGCCTCCAGGTATACAGACATCAAAGGAAAGACACTCAATGTATGTTATGCTGGGAAAAATTACAAGGTGGAGACTAACACTGCAAGTCAAGAAAACTTTCCATCTGCAGTAAAATTTAGAGCCCAGGGGGCTTGTTCATACTCCAGAACCAAGCCCTGCAATATGACTCTTTTCTGAACCAGTTAGAATCTAGTCAGTTTTGATGGGAGAAAGGACAAACTGAACCATACTGAATTTAGTTTAATGACTGTTCCAAGATTCACGAAGGACAGGGCCTTGTTAAGCAAAGACCCCGCTTAAAAGAAATACAAAGAAACTGATGTTCTTACTTTTGTCCAAGCTTGTATGTCCTCAAATCTCAAAGTTACTCTGTCCTTTCACATCTCTAGCAGTTGTTCAAACAAGAGCAATACATGAAAATTAGAACAAAATAATTTGTGTAGAGGAGGAAAGTATCTAAAATAGGAAGTCTTAAACAGCAATTGTCAAGGTCCAGACATCCACCTATGACTTCATACAAACTACATCTACACAATGATGATCTCTCCGTGCTTAACCCTGACCCCACTTGGCACTTCATCAACTGGGACAACACAGAGGTTAACTAAAGGAACTCAGGTGAGAGACACAGAAAAAAGCTCTAAGGAGTGTGTTGCCTAAAGAATGCTTTAGGGAAATCAGCATCAAGTTAACCAAGATCAAAACAAGTAGTAGACACAAACACCCCTCAAGAATCATGTCTGTTTGGTCACTGATTTCCTCCCCTCACCTGAAAACCTAAGATGCAGACTTTGGAAAAAGGGAAGGAAAGCAAAAGAAATGGTATAGTTGCGGTCATAGAGAATTTACCAACTAGCTCGACTCTGTGTTGCAACTGTCACTATTTTCACTATAGTAGCAGAGGAGCTTCAAAGAATCTGGAAAGCAAACCACAGTTGGAAGGTGAGAAATGAATGACAGGAAAATGTCTTTACTTTTTCAGAGAACCAGAGAAAGATTCTCTAAGCAAAGAATGTTCTTTCGCGCTGCCCACTAAAAGAGACAAAGTTCTCTCTACCTAGCACCAAGGACGTGCCGAAATGGAGTCTTTTCTCTGGAAGGAGGAATGGGCCTAGACTGAAACCTGGGCCTGAGGCAAGTCCTTCTACCTGTACTGGGGGATGATTTGAGGTCTCCTTCACAGCACCTTGTTTATATCTGGACTCTGCTGCAAAAACCACAATAAAGGCAAGAAGCCACCAACTCTGTTATTGGCATATATGTATATACTTGAAATGGTCGATCACATTAACTGTAGTCTTCTACAGAATTGTTTTGGTCTAGTTCCTTTAGTTTCTGAAAGAATAAATGAGTTAGAACTTTATGATCAATTTATAAATTTAGGTAAATACTTCAGTTTTAAATTTAAAAATAAACAAACAGCTGGATCCAAAGTTAAACTTCCAAAGGGAAAAGAAAATAACAATTCTAAGAATTTCTATCAGGAGGAAACATCAGCCACAGATTTTAAGATATCTAGAAAGAAAAGAATTAGGCACCCAAGTACAAAGTAAAGGGGCACTATTGCATTCTATATCTGAATACTCTGACCCCCAAAAGATTAAGAACATAGTGCCAAAGAATGCTAGAAAAAAGTATGTCGGACATTAAAGGAAAAAGAAAGCATCTATATACAGGAAGGACAGAGCAAAAGTATAAAACTCCAAACCCTTGCTTTGGTGAGCTATGCCTTCTTGAGGTGGAAGGTAAGAGAATATAGAATGAGTGGATACCAGAGAATAAGAATGTCAAGGATAAGGGCAGGGGGCATAAGATGACTAAGAAGGGATGGACTCCTCTATAGGGCAGAACTTCAAGACACTATCCCCTTTGAAACCTTGCGCATACTCACTGTTTTACTAGAGGAAAGACTGAAAGTTGTGAAAATTATGATTAGAATAACATTTATAAAAAATGAGAGACTTCATGAGGGCAAATCCAAGCACTGAGGGAGAGGGCACAAGTGTGAAAAAAGAACACACAAGACAGATTCAGGAAGAAGGAGAGAGAGAGACAGAGCTGAAGACTGCTAAGGAGAGTGGAGACGAGAGCACACCCCACCTACCAGTCAACCCGCAATCACTATATACATTTTAATACAAAGTACAGAAACACAAATGTAACACCTGGATGAGAGGAGTGGAGGAGGACTGCACAGAAACTGCAAGACAAGGCAGCATCCTGCCAGAGCTTTAAGGCATGCAATGGGGAAGTCAGGATGGAGGATGAAGGGGGAGGGACTGCAGCAGGGAAAGAGGATGGGCTGCAGCAGCAGAAGGGGCCTTAAGACAGAAGGAAGGGAAAGCAAACGCAGAGGAGAGAAAGAATAGGATAGTCAAGTGTGGGCTCACAAGAGAATAGAGGAGGAGAGAGAATGGAAACGGCGTGCCCTGAAAAAGTAAGGAGGTCAAAGACCCAAAAGGGGGTTGTAGTCTGAGGGAAGTAGAAACTAAGGAGAGCTCTACCATAAACCTGACTACAAAGAAGTAGGAGTGTGGTGCAAGAGTGAAGACAGGGGGCCAGAACAGGGATGCTCTCAGAGGGATGCGGTGATGGAGACCCTAGATTCAAAAATCCTGGTGTAACATGGGCACTACTGCGAAGAGAAACTATGGTGTCAAAGACCCAACCGCCGCCGCCACCACCACCAAAAAGGCATGCAAGGGTCAGAAAAGAAGGTGTACTCGGAGAAGGAGTACAAAAAGGAGGGAAGGAAAGGGTCACATGGTAGGCTAGCAAAATACAAGAGGTGCTTAACCATAAGGAGAGGGTAACTAAGGAAAGAAAAGCAGAGCTGTGTGGAGGGATGATGTTTCTGGAGGAAAAGTAGGAGCAGACCAGAGGTCCTGCCTACTCGGTCTAGAGGGCAGAACGGCCGGTCCTTCCTCGTCTGCTGGGCCGGTCCACGGGGGCTGAAGGCAGTGGTGGAGAACAAGAAACTATGATGACAAAGATGAGAACTTGGGGAGGACACACAGTGGCTGGGTCAGAAAAGGAGATGCTGTCAGTGAGGAGCAGAAGAGGTTCATCACGAGGAAAGCGAGGGGCAGCGAGGAGCAGAAAGCAGCATGCCGAAGCGGAAGGCAAAGGGACAGAAAAGAAGGCAAGGGAATGGAGGGCAGGGGTAAAAGCAGTGGCGGCAGGGACGTGAACTGGAGATTACAGGGAGGGGGGTGGGAGTCGCAGAAACCCAGGGTGTGGGGAGGGTCAAGCCCCAAGGAGGCGCCGGGCCAGAAGGGGGCGGGGGTCCGCAGGGCCGGTTCGGGGGTTGGGGGAAGGTGCGGCCTGAGGATGACAGGGGTAGAGGGGAGAAGCAGGGACAGGCGGAGGGGATGGGGCGGGGTGGGGCGCCGGGCGCCCCGATACTCACACCTCCAGAATGCGGTCCCCCTTGCGCACCCCGGCCCGATCGGCCGCCCCCCCGGGCAGCACGGCGCTCACATGCTGCAGCGGCGCGTACAGCTCCCCGTTGATGCTCCGCAGTTGCCCGCCCTCGCTCACTTGGCCCCGCACGTTGAAGCCGTAGCCGGACTCGGACTTGACGATGCGCACGACCCGCGGGCCGCCGCCTCCCCCGCCGCCGTTCCCGGCGCAGTGGAGCCCAGACCCCCCACCGCCGCCGCCACCTCCGTTCCTGTGAGGGGCTGAGGGGTGAATCCCTTCCCCGTCCTCGTCCGCCATCTTGCGAGCAAGCGAACCGTACCCCCGCCCCACTACGCCTCCACTCCCTCCCCGCGCGCGCTCGCCCTTCTCAACAGCCGCGCGACCCCCGGCGCGCGCGCCCGCTCCGTCGACCGCGGGACCCGAGTCGGCCACGGAGCTGCCGGCGAGGGTAAAGGGGAGGCAGGGGGCGGGGGGAAAGGACGGTTAGGCACCGTGGAGCCTCCTGGGAGATGTAGTTTTTGGGCGGTGAGGGCGGGGAAAGGGCCGGACCCGGGCAGGAGCTGAGGTCATATGACGCAGTTAGGGAGCAAAGCCTGCTGGGAGTTGTAGTTTGTCTTTTATGCTCCTAGCAGATTCCTCTGTTGGACCGTGAGCCGCTAACCCGGCATGGCGCTTGGTTGACTGACTCAGTTGTTGACGTGATGCAACTTTTTTTTTGTTCTTTCATTTCGTACCCTCTAAAAACAGTAATATTAGGACAAATTGACATTTGTGAGTCAACACAGTCTTAAATTATAACAACTCATTTGCTCAGTACCTTATGTGTTCACATACATGGCCCTAACAACCTCGTGAGACTACTGGATCATGAGTTAGTTTCTCTCTCTATTTCACATATTAGGAAACGGAACCTTAGAATGCCCAAGTCATTCAGCTATTAAGTAACAGGAACTAAGGCCAAGTTGTTTTTGTGCAACTTTCTTTTCACGTATTGCAACTACATAAAAACTGTGCCCCAAATGTACTAAAAGCATATGTAGAGGAAACTATGGTCTCAGTGTTTTAGAACTGGATATTAGAATGACAAAGTAATAATTTCAATTGAGCAATGATTTTGAAGTTACCTTTATTTCTAATTCATTTTGTTTCCCCCAGCAGCACAGCAGAGTTCTTCGCAAATGGCAGCAATTGATATTTTTTGGCTACCTTCCCAAACGCAGACTTCAAGATACTGTACACAGTGCCTGGCAAAGGCAAGTGAGAAGAGCAAGAGCAAAAATAAGGAAAATAGCTTACTTAAGCGCTTACTGCTCCAGCCTGGTATTTGATTTTACCCTACTGACAAGCCAATAATTTAGTCTGTTACTGTTTCATGGATGCTGATAGACGACACAAGAGTCCTGGGTCAGAGACAAAGGGCTATTACTCAAGACACAGGAAGCAACATGAGCTTCAGCATGTTTGTGTCTATTTCTCTTGCTCCCCCAAGTCCCATAGAGATGCCACCAAGGACTCAGATGGATCTTGTGCGCTTACTGGATTTGCATGACAGCTGCAGTACACTGAGCTTAAAGAACCTGTCATTTTATAGGAAGCAGTCAGCAAACCTGTTCTTTGTCCTGGAGGGAGACATTACTTCATCCTTCAAAGTTGCTCACTATAAATACAGCCATGAGAAATGACCGTGGTAAAGAGCAGTCAGGGCTTTGCATTTTTGGCATACCCAGGAACACCAGTAGAAGCATGAAAGATGTGTGAAGGACTCTCTTTCTCAACATTACTATGTGCCAAACACTATTCTAAGCACTTTACATCTATAATCTCATTTAATCCTCACAACCCTATAATGCCCCCTATTTTATAGATAAATAAACAGGCAGAGAAGGGTCACACAGCTAGTAAGCCATGAATCCAGAAGAAGCAACAGGGATACATAGTTAAAAGACAGTAAAAGTTCACTTGAGAGGTCAAGTGACTTATAAAAACAAGAACAACCCCGTGAAAGAATTTGTGGACTATGTAAGGGTTTCCAGGAATTGCTCAAGGGGAAAAAAAAACACAGTAGAATAATTGAGACGTCTCACAAAATGTGAGATAAGGACTCAAAGTTATTAGTACATAAAAATTAATGTGACTTTATTTTATAACTAAGCTAATGGAGATGAGTCTCAATTAGTTACACAAATATGAAAATTAATAAAAGTTGGAATAAGAATCTTGCTCCAGGGGGCTGCCCCATGGCTGAGTGGTTGGAGTTCTGCATGCTCTGCTTTGGCAGCCAGGGTGCGGACATACTCTGCTAGTAGGCCATGCTGTGGAGGCATTCCAAGTACAAAGTAAAAGATTGGCATGAATGTTTGCTCAGGGCTAACCTTCCTCAAGCCAAAAAAAAAAAAAAAAGAAAGAAAAGAGGAAGATTGACAACAGATGTTAACTCCAGGAGAATCTTCCTCACAAAAAAAAAAGAATCTTGCTCTAAATAATAGTGGCATAGTGGCATTTTGGTTGAACATGAATCATTTGGTTTGAACTGAGCACTGGGTGGAAAGGAACTTATCCTCTAAAGCAAGGCATCAGAGGAAGGAAAAAGGGAGCTTCCACTAAAAGAGCTATTTTTTTTCCTTTCTTTATTTGACAAACTGTACTGAATGCCTACTCTGTCCTAGGCTCTGTAACAGTGGCTAGGGATACAGAGATAAATAAGATATCTACAAACTCCGTGAAGGGCAATATGACATAAACGTACAAATGCACATACCCCTTGATCTGGTAGTTCCACGTCTAGGAGTTCATTCTACTGTGACACTTGCACATGTGTGAAATGACATTTTTGTGACGTTAGTCATTGCAGTATTGTTTGTATTTGCAGAAGATTGGAAACAACCTAATGTTCATTGGTTAGATTATGATAGTTCCACGATAGAAAACTGAATAACTGTAAATAAAGAATAAGGAAATTCTTTATATACTGAAGTGGAGTGATTTCATGGATACTGTACATAGTTAAATGAACACAAGGTACAGCATAGTCTGTAGAACATGATTCCATTTTTGTATAAAAGGAGAACCCTAGATGTGTTTCTATCTCTAGAAGTATTCACAGTATCAGATAACATTGATTGCCTCTGAAGAGGAAGACTAGACAGCAGGGGTCGGGGACAGGGGTAGGAGGGAGACTTTTTGCTATATACCTTTTGTAACTTCTGAATTTTTGGACAGATAAATGTGTTGCCTATTCAAAAAATAAATACATAAAATATTTAGAAAGGATCAGATTGAAAGAAAAGGTGATCACAGTATCAAAGTAAGAAAATAAAATAAGACACCATTCTGCTCTTGAGAACTCACAATCTAGCAAGAGAGACAGCAGAAGAAAAAACAATTACAGTCCAGGCTTTGGCGCTCCTGAGTAATGAGAGCTGTGATAGAGGCCTGCACAAACTGCTAAGAGCGCACCTAGGAGTGATCACAGATGAGTTAGCAAGGCAGAGAAGGGCATTTCTGACAAGGGGAAGAGGGTATTCAAACACACAGAGGTTTGAAAGAACGTGATGCAGTGTTAGAACTGCAAGCAGTTCAGTAGGACTGGAGCAGAGGGGACAGGGAGGAAGCGGGCAGGGGAGGCGAGAAAGGAGTGGGCAAGAATCAGATCTGGGAGGGCTTCAGGTATTGAATATCACACCCAGCAGTGTAAATCTCATTCCTAAGTATTTAGGGGCCTCTGAATGCTTTTAAGCAGAGCGGCGGGAATATCAAATTTGTGCTTCAGAAAGTTTATTCTGCAGGAAGCGTGGAGAACAAAATAAGATAGACAGATCCATTAAAAAGCAATTGCAGTGATTCAGGGGAGAACTGATGAGATTCAAACTAGGGCAGTGGTGTTGGGAGGAGGATCCACAGGAGAGAATGGACTTGGTGACCACTTGGATCTTAGGTGTGAGGGTGGAGGAGGAAAGAACAACGAAAGACTCCTGACTTGGTGGTGTGATTTCCCAAGACCAGGCAAGAAAAGGAAGAGGAAGAGGTTTGCGGGGGGAAGATAATGAGTTCAGCTTGGAGTATGTTAGATTTGAGGGGCCTGCAGGAGATCCAACAGGAATTGGCTGGGCGCATAAGTCTGGGATGAGGGCAAAGGATCTGGACCAGAGCATAGACTTGGGAGCCATAGACTTTGGATTGTGAGTGGTGGCAGATGAGAGCCCTAAGGCAGAGCATGTAGTGAGATGAGAGAAGTGGCAAGGCCAAAACCTAGAGAACACCCCTCTCCGAATTTAGGAGACTTTAAGGGAAAGGGGATCAGGTGAAAGATGGAGAAAGGAGTCAGAGAGCTGGGGGACCCAGAGAGAGTGGGGTCTTAGAAGTTGGTAAAGCTGCCTTTGGAAATAGGACCTGGACAGTTTGCAGAGTACTTCCCATCCAAGAGCTTGTTTAGTCCTCACAAGAACAAGGTAAATAGAAGCACTCATGAGAAACTAGGCTCAGATAACCAGCAAGTTCCAGTTACACTGCTAGTTAATAGCAGAACTGAACCTTGAACTCAAAATTTCTGACACGGAGGCCAGGACTTTCTCCACTACCCAGTTTCCTCTGGTTAAAGAAAAAAAGTTCCTGCTACCCTTTGTGAGGCACAGTCAGCAGGTTTCTCTGAGCTCTTTGTGCAGGGATTCCTCAGGTGAGAACCCCACCTCCACACCTTTGCTCATACAGTTCTTTGGTCCTAGACATCCTGCCTCCTCCCCTTCCCTCTTTGCTGGTCTAAATTCTACTCATTCTCCAAGCTCTAGCTTACGTCTCTCCATAAAGCCTCCCCTGAGGATTCCAGTTCACTCTGACATCTCTTCTCTAAATTCCTGCGGTAAATACAGTCACGCCCTCCTCCCAGTGAGTCACACGCTTGTGTAGTCCCGTCCCCTGTAACTTGCTTCTAGGCAGTAGAATATGGCAAAGGTGATATATGTCACTCTCATGATTAAGTTACATTATGTAACCCTCTTTCTTAGCCAACTGGACTGAGAGAGTCTCCTGCTGGCCTTGAGGAAGAAAGCTGCCATGCTATGAACTCCCCATGGAGAAGGCCCATCACAGGGAACTGCAAGAGCCGCAAAGAACTGAGAGCTGCCCCCAGCTGACAGCAAGAAAATAGGGCCCTCAGTCCTACGCCTGCAAGAAATTCTGCCAACAAGCGCATGAGCTTGGAGGAGGCTCCTGGGCTACACTAAGGAACACAGCCTAGCCAACACCTTGATTGCAGGCCTGTGAGACCCTGCAGAGCACCCAGCTAAGCTAAACCCAGACTCCTGACCCACAGAAACCGTGAGATAATGCATGTGTGTTGTTTTAGGCTGCTAAGTTTGTGGTAATCTGTTACATGGCGATAGATAACGAACGTAACTCCTATTGCATTTATAGTCAATGCCACTCAGTTTAGACCATAACAATTTAGTATCTAGTTTAGCTTTACCTTCCTGATCTGAACATAAGCT